TTTGAGGGTTACCCCAGTTTAAAGGGCTAAACTAAAATTATTTAATAAGTTAAATGAATTACTAACCGATGGTTGTCAGTGGAAATGGGTTTAAAATCCTTTATTTAAGAACTATATTTAGGAGGATTGCCACGTGTTTAAAAAATAAATTTCCACTTAATTCATCAGTTACATGAAATATTTATAACAATGTCAGACGAAAAGTATTTAAGGAAATTTTAGTTCGAAAATAATTTTTAAGAGGGTTGCCGCCTGTTTTGAAAGTGGTATTTGGTTTAATTCTACACAATTTTACATAATTTCTACATAATTTTAAAATATGGTTATCAAAAGAACGGGTGTTAAGAAATCTTTAAGCTGAGCAATTGTTTTTTTTGGTGAAAAAATTTAGCTCAAATTATTTAATAAGTTAAATGGATTGTCAAAAGATGGGTATAAATCGAAATGGGTTTGAAAATAATTTATTTCTAAACTGTATTTAGGAGAGTTGCCATGTGCTTACAAAAATTAAATTCAACTTAATTCATCAGTTAATTGAAATATGTATAACAATGGCAGGCGAAAAATTTTAGTTTGAAAATACTTTTAAAGGGGTTGCCACCTGTTTGACAAGTCGAATTTGTTTTACTTATACGAAAGATACATAAATGAAATATCGAAATATTAGTGTCAAACGAAAGAGTTTTAAGAAAACTATAGGCTAATGATATTTTTAATTAGAGTTGCCATTAATTTTTTTGAAGGTCATCACCGTTATTTGGAATTTGCAAAATGAGTAGTCATATTAAAGAACTGGGATTCTACATAGATGTGCACAGGTTTTATTTTTTGAAGTTACAGGGAGATTTGAAATTTTATGAAATGAAAACCGACACCATGCGAGACCTCTCATCACTGAGAAATGGTTTAGATTAATCATTAGGAATATTTTTAGAGTATTTTTAATAGGGTTTCACCTGTTTAAAAAATTTAATTAAATGTTGGCTTTTTGGCGGCATTCGGGTTCTCTAGTAATAACTTTAATACTATTTCACAACATGGTTTTAATACTTCAAATTATCATAGATTTTATTTTCGATAAAATTTGGGTTTTGCTTTAAGGAATTCTTGTTTATTGTCATTGCAAAAGCTAAGCGAGCTCTAAACTGAGTCCTGTAAATTCGAAAGGCATACCAGAAAGAATTAAAGGGGCCATGTAAATTGTAGTTCCGAAGTAATGGCTGATACAAAATTCAACGCCCGTGTTATGTGCTACAACCCCTTTTACAAACTCATTTATATAAACATACCTTACTATAAGCACCTATGTACCATAGATATGTCTGCATACCAAATTTCAAGTTTATGTGACTTTTCAGAAGTTATGGCTGATTAAAAATTCCACGCCTATGAGATGTGCCACGCTCCCTTTTACAAACTCATTTATGTATACCTTACTATAAGTACCTATGTATGTACCATAAATATGTCTGCATACCAAATTTCACGCTTATGTGACTTATGGTTCCGAAGTTATAGCTGATAAAAAATTCCACGCCTTTGGGATGTACCACGCCCCGTTTTACAGACTCGTTTAAATATTTACCTTACTAAAAGCACCTACCATAGATGCATATGTCTGCATACCAAATTTAAAGTTCATGTAACTTACGGTTCCGAAGTTATAGCTGATTAAATATTTAACGCCTACGGGAGGTGCCACGCCCCCTCTTCCAATTCCGCCCATTTTCGCATGAGTATGGAATTAATTTCATTTATCTCGACACCAAGTTTCAGTACTCTACCACAAATATTTTAAGAGATATACAACATGAAAGTTTTAGTTAGAATGGGAGGTGCCACACCCCCTTTTCCAGTACTGCCGATTTTTCTCTATGCCTATATCCTTCCCGAAGTAAAAACAAATAAGTGTACAAAGTTTCGTGCGATTCCGTGTCGCAGTTCAAAAGTAATACGGTAATGCAAACACAGACATTCACATTTATATATATAGATAGATAAATAGAAGATAGAAGATGGATATATTGGTTTTGTACTTACATAGTTTGCTTGGATGATTTTGCTTGTTGTTAGAGACCGAAAAATCGTTATTTTGACTGAGCAAGAAGGTCCTATTACATTTTTTTTAGGATTTCGAAATGTGAAAATAAGTAGCTTCAAAATAACAAAAAGTCACGTTTATCATGGGCGTTCACAAAGCTTTGGCACAAAATTTGACAAGGTGATGCAAAATGTTAAATATATTTGTTCGGTACCAAAATCTTGAAATTAACTGTACCTGAAATTTAATTTTTTAATTAATCTGCAAAAATTACATAAATTACCCCAGATGCGATGGTTCCAAAGGCTAAGGATCAAACTACCCAACAAAAACTAGAGTTCAATATTTATAATTAATGAAGTTTATAACTCACTAAGTGTATGTACAGGCTAGTGAATGAGACAAAATAAGCTACTGATTTTTGTTTCTACGTATTTAAGGGAAAGTCTGGTGAGCCTGAGATCCTGCGTAGTAGAAAACATAACCTTGATAACACGGTGCTACGAAAAAAAAAAGATGAAACGAAATTTAGCGTAGGTTATAGGTAAGATCGAGTACAACATGAAAATAGGTTCCTTACAACTACCGAACCCTTCATTTTTTACAAAAGAACGTTATTTGCGTACTTTAACTTATCCATTAACAGCTTGACTATTTTTCAACCGATTTAAAAAATAAATTATTTTTTTTAAATAATGATGTATAATAGGGCATTTCCACCAAGCCTTAACTGAAGTTTATGCCCATTGGAAAAACGAGATTATCACTCGAACGGGGTAATTGGTCATATTAAGTACAAGCAAACGAATGTATGAAAGCAAAAAGTAAG